AAGCAGTTATATATTATAATTACATTAGAGCTATAACATTTATGGAAAAACCTAGAAGATTAAGCTTTGATAAAACCCTTTACCCTAAACCCTGAACCAAATTCTATGAGGAACCCCTTGCCCAGTTTGGGTCTAGGGGTGGTGTGGCGGTTGGTGTTCGGGATGATTGGGGTGAAGGAGTGTTCAGGCATTTGGGTCTGGGGAGCGGGGTTCTGGAGAGTGGGTTTCAGGCATTTGGGTGGTAGGGTGGTGGTATTTTGGTTGAGGATAGGGGTTGAGGTGAGGTTTTGGTGGGATTCCTAGGGTGGGATACAGGGTTTGGGGTTGAGTTGGTTGGTGGTGGTATTATTACCCAAAAGGGGCAAGGGGGCCCCTAACTTAATTCCCATAGTTTAGGGTCCTTATAAGGTAATGCAGGACTTATATCATCAACAGTAGGATCACCATATCTCTTGTCAGGGCGACCTCGCCTCGATCCAGGAGACCGGAGTATCCCAGGCCAGACCTTTCCACTCGAAGTTTACATATCCTAAATAGGAGAATCATACAACCCTATCATGCTAAACGAGTAAATACACACATGCAAAAACACGTGCAGATGGGTGTATCTATGTATCTAGATATATATATATATGGATAGATGCATACTCGCTCTGTATCTCTCTTTCTTATAAGCTGAGGAGATGTGTATATAATCCATATTGCTCATGCCCACCTACAGACCTACCTGCATAGGTTTAGGCAGAACTATATGGTTCTTACAGGAATTTGTCCGAACTTCGCTGCTGAAGGCTTGCTTGTCGATCATTGGTTGCTTAAATTTCAATTCCGTCGATTTACACGGATGCGATGTTTGTACTATCACATGTTCTGGAAGTATAGCAAACACTAATGCACAAGAAGGGTAAGCTACCAAGCAATGTATAACGCAGCACATAAGAGTGCTTTTGCCGTGCAGCTTAGCACCATATAAGCCCTAATTATAAGCAAAGCCTGCCAGCCGAACTCTCCCAACACAGGCCAGAAATCGTGAAAGTTACAGGGATCTAGCTTCCTGGTTGTTTCAGTCTCTAGTGATGGTCAGTGGGAAATCCTACGCTCTTTAATGTTTGCACGCGTAGTGGCCCTGAAGTCCAGGCAGCTCAGCTGGAGTCGGCGCTGCGGGAGCGTGACGAGGCCCAACAGAAGCTGCAGGACAGACATCTCGCAGATCAGGCCAAGCGAGCCTATAGGCCCCAAACCCTAAACCTCGCCTACATTGCCCGAGTTGCGAGAGTCTAAACTGTCCAGCCCAAACAAACTTTGTGTTGAAAACTTGGCCGTGAGTCTGTGTAAGCGAGACTAGAAGGGACGCATCAGAACCCTGGCCTTAGAGCCTGCTCTGGAATACGGGGAAGCTTGACAGTAGACTGAAAGCCGCGGCAGTTGCCGGGGCGTCGCAGGAGACAATGCAACGGAGTCAGGACGAACTGCACAGCATGCACGATCCGACTTTCGGCGGTGGTCCGACTCATGCAGTGTTGACTGGCTTTAAGTGTTGGATTGTTTGGCCTGCGGTGGTTGGGGGAAGTTTGGATTACAAGAAGTCGATTACTTGTCCATATAACCATTTTCAAACTGATATAGGTAACATGACCTACTCTATTCTAGTATATGTTATTCTTAAATAACTTGAATCAAGCCTCATCCAATACAAGAACTATACTTTTATGTAATACAATGTGAACTAGTATGGTCTACTTACTATATTCTAACAGCCTAGTATAGTACTATGCTTTAACCCAACAGGAGAACCTCCAAGCGGCAGATGCCGGCCGGGCGCTTTCCATGGAGAATGAAACTCGGCTGTGGTTTATACTTTGGGAATTTAGGGTTTTTAGGACCGTTTTGTTTAGGGTTCGCGGATTCAGGGCTTCGGTGGAGGCTTCGAGGCGTGGGTTTTTCAGGCCCAGTGCAAGTCTCTCTTACATGACTGCCTGGCCTGCAGGAAACTCTCCAGCAGGAGCTGTTGCAGAGCAGAGAGGCCGGGGATGGTCATCTCGTAATGTGTGACATTTGCTGTTTCTCGCCACTCCAGACTCTAGCATGTCAGGGCTGTTGTACGGCGGGAATACTACGATTCAGGTTGTTTGATTTGCATGATTCAGGAGCTGCAATAAATTTGGATGCTCTGTACTCTTACACGACAGAAACTCAGAATTACCCCTGATGAAGCTCACATGAAAAGCGGCGAGCTGCTAGCCAGCCTGTGCTTCCATGGTCCCGTTTTGTTGGGACAGCTGTGTTCGGCGATAGGTTCCGACAGTGCTACTCCGCAACATGCCTTCCAAGCCAGGCGAGCAAAGAGCTGCAGGCACGACTGAAAGAGGCCCAGATGGCTTTCGTTTGGTGTCAAGTCTATGTGTAGATGTATGGGTTTGTTTCGGAAGCTGAGGTTCCTTGTCTGAGGGTTAATTATTGTAGGGATCCGGAAAGGATCCTACCAATCTAGGGGCCTCTGATTTTCTGAAATACCATGTGTCTGTTCCAGGAAAGTCAAGGTAAGGGTGTTTGTTGAGGACGCTCGATCGAAGTCGGGAAGGGTTGCGGGTCGTTCGGCGCGGAAGTCATGAGCACCCGACAGTTTCTGCAGCGTCAAGTTTGCCGAAGTCCGACTTTCCCGACCGTGCCAAGAGACATCCAATGAAGGTAGAGCTGCAGCTCGAGCAGCGCAGCCAGGCACGTCCCGACACTGTAGGAAGGTCCTGGCACGGTTTATGGTAGTTGCGTGCATGTCTAAAAGCTTGCATAGAGTGGATTGGGATGGGTGCTTCTCGGTCAAGATGGTGCACATACATGGAGTTTGGCAAGCTGTTTAAAACCGCTAGTCAATTCTGATGACCGGTCAGTGCGAGTCGTGGCAGTCGGTCCGCTGAAGCTGACAGGTGAGGAGTAGAGGCATTTCAGCCAGCAGCACATCCATAATCATGAACATCCCAGGCTACACGGAGTACCAACTCCTCCTTCTAACCCCTGCATACCCTGGGCTCGTAAGCCCTACAACCCGAAGCCCGTTCAGCCCTTGCACTCTTTTTGTTTTCAGTGAGCAGAAGAGCAGACCTCTCGTCGCGAGATCAAAAATTTTGGAACCCCCATAAGCCCCATGCCTGCAAGCCGAAGACGTAAGCTCCGAAACATTCTGAGGTGCAAAGCCCCATGTAAAGAAAAGACAAGCCTAGAGATATGACAGAGGCGATAGCAGCTCTCGAGCACCGCCGTGCAGCGGATGCACCCGAGCCGGAGACCTTCTTCATCGGAGATGATGAAAACACGCAGGCAAGGTCGGAAGAAATTTACTTCAGGGTTTCATGGGCCGTTGCTAACGGGGGGGTGGGTTCCAGAGCTGTCCTCTGTTTCGCCTGTAATTTACAATTTTCCGGTGTCGATTTGATTCGTAATACTCTCCCCTTCTAGTCCCGATCCAGCAAGACCTTAACACCGACGGGTTTTGTCAGGGCGACCTATCGTCGATCGAGGACGCCGGTGCCGCCCAGGCGATTCGAAGCATATGGATCCACAATTGCAAATCCACGATTGCCTTGAGGTAGAGCTACGTTCAGGTCTCAACCCTTTACGCTAGTATAGGTGCTTCAGAGTGTGGGCAAAAGCAGCCCGGAGGGTCTGGGGTGCTTGGAAGAAGCTGTCAAGATGCGGCCACATGTTCTAGCAGCAAGGCCATGATAGTCACGTTCGAACGAGGCCACTGGCCCTCAGCTCCGAAGCCTCGAAAGTCCACACAAAGCCCCTTCAGGGCGCTAGGGCGTTGACGTTTTCTTTTTAGGTCGTTCGCGGTTTGTTAGGTTGCAGTACTCGGAACAGGCGCAGCAGCTCGAGTCGGCGCTGCGTGAGCGTGACGAAGCCCAACAGAAGCTGCAGGACAGACCCGTAAGCCTTGATGCTGTTATTTGGCATTACACGATATGTCAGCAACCTGACACATAAACAGCGATGGCATGCCCAACTTCTGAATGAGCCGGAACTCTGCAGGAGCTACTGGAGAGGAGCCAGGACGGGCTGCAGGGCATGCAGTGCTCGACTTCCGGTTCGTCCCGCGCGGTGAGAAAGAGAGACCAGAGAGAGAGAGAGAGATTGTGTCCCCAGCACGCGAGAAGAGAGCGAGCGAGAGATCCACAGGAGAACCTCCAAGCGGCAGATGCTAGCCACGTGCTTTCCACGGAGAATGAAGCTTGGCGGCAGGGCTCGAGCAAGGTTGCAGGGTGCAAGCTGAGGGTCGCAGGGTGCAGTCTAGCAGAGTCTAGCTGCTAGCTTAGGCGTGCAGATTCGGGGGTTCCCTGCACTGTGGACTGTCTTGGCTTGCAGGAAACCCTCCAGCAGGAGTTGGCGCAGAGCCGGGAGGCTGGCTGTAATCATACAAAAGCCCACGAAGTCTCCGATGTTTCTGTTCTCTTCGTAAGGCTTCCTAGGGCTCTTGCACGATTGGGGTAGTGCGGACGAGCTTGCAGGATGTAATGAGTTCAGGAGTCCAGGAGTCTGGCACGATTCCACTTTGCACATGATTTGGGAGTTGCAGCAACTCGGGGCGATACTGTTTGTCTGAGGTCGACAAGCCTAGCACGACCCCGGATGCATCTCACATGAAAGTCGCTTGTGTGCTTGCTTGTGCATATGTTCCGGAAGTGTCGTGATTCCCATACACAGCCATGTGTGATACACGACTGATTCCACGAAACGCGGGTACAGTAGCCGGCGAGGCGAGCATCACAAATGCCGTCGGCGATTCATAACCGCGGGAATTAATTAAGTGCTTGAGCCCGCACACTAGCAACTACCCGGCATCCCCACTTCCATGGCACGATGCTACATGCTTTGCAAGCCACCGCCAGGCAAGCAAAGAGCTGCAGGCACGGCTCCAGAAGGCTATGAGCGCATGGTGAACTCGATCGAAGTCGGGATTGTTCCGTGCAACGCCAGTTTCACGACTGCACCCAATGTGAGATTTCATGAAGGCAGAGCTGCAGCTGGAGCAACGGAGCCAGGCACATCCCAGCAGTCACGTGTGGTAGCTGAGTGCAGCAAAGAACCCTCTGGGTCAAGATCGCGAGCATGCTAAGCATGCTTTGGCTGTCCGGCTGCTTGAATCCAACTCTGAGGTTTCAAATCCTTTTGAGTCCCTATAGTCACCTAGCAGACGGGTGAGGAGTCGAGGCAGCAGCCGGCAGAACATGCAAAGCCCAACTGGAGGCGATGACAGCGCTCGAGCAGCACCGTGCAGCAGACGCCAGCACAATACAACGCTTGCAGGCAGCTCTTGATTGCAGCACTGCGATTGCATGGCATGTAGTTTCCACATGCACTCCATAGCTGCAGTGTCCCCGATTCTGCGCGATTTTACGTTCGCTGTAGGACCGTGTCGCGGTTACCAGTGGGTTTGAAGTTTTTCTGGGCTGTGGTAGGAAGGTTGCTTGTACAACCTGCCCATCACCCTGAACCAATGGATGGGGACGCCACACAAGTCACCGGGTATCTTTCTAGGGTTCAGGCAACAGAAACTTGGCTTGTGCAACATAGGCGGAGTGTAAGTAAGGCTGCAAGATCTTTTTTGCGGAGCTGTCGTAGGAGGTGCTGTCGACGGTGACACGGGTTGTATTCGTAAGCAAGCAGCTTGCTTCGTGTGTTGCTGAAGCTGTTCTGCTCTCCTTTTGCTTCAGGCCGTTGTAAGAAGATGGATCGGGCATGAGGGCTTTGGGATACTTTGGGTCTTGCAGGCCTTCTGCGCAGTTCCGGGTATCCGGATTATTCCATGCAAGAGCTACAAACCCCAAGTTGAGAGAGCGGGAGGCAACAAGTTGATGGCTGAAACATGATACCTGTTTCACCGCCCTCCCCTCCCCCCCAAGCAACAAAGATTCGAACATGAGGGAATGAGGGAAGCGAAAAGCCTGAATGCCTAAATCCTGATGGTTTCGCTCCAGGGCGACCTGTCGTCCATCCAGGGCACCGGCGCCACCCAGCCGCAAAGGGCAAAGTCCGGGTTTCACATGGGATGGGGTGTATAATTAGGGAGTATAGAGCCTAGGGCTACTGACCCCTACACTGGAAACCCTGCTTAGCTTTTTGATTCGGGGAACTGCGAATGGTTGTATAAGTATATGTTTCTTTCGCAATCATATGGCCTTGCATTCCAGGCACAGCAGCTGGAGTCGGCGCTGCGGGAGCGTGACGAGGCCCAACAGAAGCTGCAGGACAGGCCAGTACATCTTGGACTTGGATGACTTGAAGTGTTACCATGAGGGCTGGTATTTTGGGATCTGTCGGTTATGCTGTCCACCATCGAAGCAGCAGGCGTGTTCAGAAACCCGTACTGCCATATTGTTGACAAAGGCGACTACTGACTTCTGCATGTGTCTTGTGGACTGTGAAGCGCACTAGCATGAAGAGACGGAAACCCGAAAGCTAAAACTTCGGCAAGACATGATGAGCCGGACCCGTCCAGGAGGTCTTGCAGAGGAGCCAGGACGGGCCGCACGGCATGCAGCTTCATCTAGCGCTGTTTCGACACAGCAGAAGCGAGACAGAGAGAGAGAGAGAGAGAGAGAGGTGTTTCTAGTGTTGTGACGTTGCTTTGTTTTTCCGGGGGGACAATCCAATGACCATAGAATTCAGTTGGATGCTCACACGGGGGAATCTTGTTCTGTTCATGCATTAACGTGAAGTTGTTCTCGCATCCCGTGGTGACATCGTGGTGTCCCACAAGCAGTGCGAAGGGGGAAGTCTTTCTAAGTAGCTATGTTTTGTTTTGTTTCGTCAACCCCACACAAAAGCACTGCTACCGAACTGCAGAAACACTTCTCACTCCGTCCGAAAGCCCCAATAACAATTGGGGGGGCCAACTGGCCGGGGGGTTTGACAGACCCCTCACGCCCTGGGGAAGAAGACAGAGAGGGAGAGAAGACGTTCTTGGATGCGGATGAGGGTCTTGGAGTTTCTTAGCGGCACCTTTGCTGCTGAGCATTGTGTCGCACACCTGTCACTTGGCCTGAACAACACTCTTACTACCGTTTCTTAGCAGACTGGGATGGGCCGTTGGCAACAGTGCAGCAGTCGCACATGAAGTTGGGACAGGTTGACGCAGACCATCGGATGTTTAGCAACGAATGTGGCACACAGCAATTCATCGAGCCGCCATTTCTTCGATGCCATACACCCCTCGTTGAACGCTGGTACCCGAAGACATGAGATCCACAGGAGAACCTCCAAGCGGCAGATGCCAGTCGCACGCTGTCCATGGAGAATGAAACTTGGCGGCATGGCTCGGGCCGGATGCAGGGTGTGTCAAGCTGAGGGTCAAAGATTCAGTGCAGCATTTCTTGCAGTTGAGGAGGGAAGAGGAGAGCAACAATGCTTTTGGATTTCTGCGTCTTCCGGTGACTGCCCCGGCTAGCGGCAGGAAGCTCTCCAGCAGGACTTGGCGCAGAGCAGGGAGGCGGGGGCAAGTAGGCAACCTTCCCACGATCTTCTCACGTGGGGTTCATGTTCTGCAGGTCTTTCGGTGTGTTGCAACGGCTGCCAGAAAAAGAGAGGGGCAATGCTGCGCTACTGATGAAACTCAGTTTCACGGTGCTCCGCTACACGCCTTGCGAGCCACGCCAGGCAAGCAAAGAGCTGCAATCACGACTCCAAGAGGCCCAGATGCCGTGCCAATTTCCCCGAACTAAGAAGAGAGGTGTCGATGTGGGCGGGGAATTTATGGTGGGCCCTACTAAGTTACTAGGTCTACGGCACAGAGACCCTGACATGCCGAGATGCCAACACGCCCTAACCTTCACCGAAGTCGAATGTGTTTCGGCGTACCTTAACCTACCAATTCTGCTTTCTTGTAGGGTCCCCAAAAAACAGAATTTAAGAACCTACAAAAAGCTATATAGGTTTTGGTAGTTTAAGTAGTTTAAGGATAAGTTTGCCGAACCAGCCCCTGACCTTCACTTCCACGCTGCACCTGCAGCATGAAGCCCGAAGGCAGAGCTACAGGTCGAGCAGCGCAGCCAGGTGCATTCTCGCGCTGTAGAAAGGTCATGGGATGAGCATTGGGGTGAATTGGCCAGTTAGTCTGCATGTCGCTTATCGAAGTACTGCAGCAACCCAGATGTTGCGGCAGAGGCCATAGCAGAGCTGGAGCAATTGCGTGTAGCAGATTCGACGGCCCTCCAGCGCTTGCAGGCCAGGCTTGCAGTGCGAGAGTCATCGATTAGTCCTTAATTTGGGGTCCTTAAAATAAGGATCCTGCTATTTAGGGTGCTATATTACGGTCCCCTATTTTTGGAAAGTCCTTGAGGGGCTTCGCGATGTAGACCATGCCTGTCCAGAAGTTTTTGTCACCGCTTGTCCACCTCGGAAGATGCCGCTTCAACCTCGCCCAAAATAGAGTAGGACAAGGGGTGCGAATGTGTTCGCTGGACCGTCTGAGGCATCCAATGTAGCTGTATGAAGCTTTCCACCCCTAAGAAGTGACGAAGCCGCTTCCGACGTTAGCTTTGACCTGTGGCGATATATAGACACACTGAACTGGATCCTGTCAGGGCGACTTGGCATCGATCCAGGAGACTGGGGCATCTCAGGCACGTGGAAGCGAAGTGAGAGCTTCGCTTTGGGGCTACATGGTAATGAATATGAATCCTTAGCCGCAAGCTGGCCCCATCTCATCTCGTTTCTTATGCTAGCAAGGAGATCAGACATAAAGTATGGCATACAGCCTAAGAGGAGTGGTCTCAGATCTTCAGCCTTGAAATATTGCAAATCTGAATGCCTTGGGAAATGCCCACTGCCCCGACGCATCGCACTCCCCGCTCAGAGCCTTTTTCGCGCAAGATCCAGAGTGAACTCGACTTCAATCAAACAGCCTGCAAGTGACTTTCCAACAGCCTGACGGCAACCTCCAGGCAGGACAACTGGAGTCGGCTCTCCGGGAGCGTGACGAGGCCCAACAGAAGCTGCAGGACAGATCTCCAAGAGTTGCATCAGGCAATGAGTTTGCTCGGGGCCAAAGCTTCACTGTCATCAGGCTGCTGTGCGTGCTGTAAGACTTCTCATACTGTACCAATATGGAGGGGTACAATACATGGCCGGCATTTCTGTGATTTAAGGACACGTCTTGATTCAGCAATATGCTAAAGCGTTACCGCTTCCAACATCATGCAGCCTTAGTAGTCAAGCGGGTGTGGTAATCTCTTTCATGGCGGCCGCAGCCACCGAGAACATACGATAATATAAGTAATCATATACCATAATTTACCATACTGTTAATACACGCTAGTATCCGAGCCTAAATTCCTAAAGCCTGTCGTCGTCGCGACCTGCGCCTGCAAGCCCCATATTCTGCAAGAATCCTAAATGATGACGCCCTCCAAACAACGAGCAATTCCTACATCAATCCTGTTTTGGAACCCCGTATCCTGCACTGTGAGTCCCTTAAAACCCTTAACCCCAACTTCACCATCTGAGCCTTCCTAGGAGCTCCTACAAAAAAGCCAGGACGGGCTGTGAAGTGACACGGCTCGATCCGTTCTCAATATTTACGCAGTCAGCGCAGGTCTGATTCGTTAGAACAGGGCTCGGAGATTGGGGTATTTAAGTTAAGATTGAACGGATACACAGATGCACAGGCGATATACAGAGGAGAGGGAAAGAGAGAGAGAGAGAGAAGGAGATGGGGGAGAGATGCCTACATCGAGCGACGCGCCACCTGACTCTTCACCTGATGCCTTGTATTATAGGCGATGTAGGAGTCGTTCCCTGGATCCTCATGACTGAGGGGCGTCCTGAGGCTTTGGGGGACTTCTTATAGGTCTACTGGGCAATCTCATGATCCAAGGGGCCACCACAAAGAAGCAGTGCCTGCGAGTAGCACAGGCGAGGGGGGCCTCAAGCACAGGAACCAGACGTAGCCGGAGACCTGCCAACTGAAGGTATTCGGAACGCAGTAGTAGGATGTAGTAGGTACCACATGGCAGTTGTTATGCAGGTGTCCGACCCTAGTATCGGCAGTGAATCCCACCCAAGTAGGAAACTTCCTGGCTGGGGAGTAGCCGCTGAAGAAAGGGGCAGAAGGAGGAGCTGAGCAAAACAGTGTGGTGCATGATGCTTGAGGTGTACTGCGCGTGGATTCTGTACGCGAAGCAGCAGCTCCTCAGCCTCCGTAGTTCACCATACCCCAGCAAGAACCCGACATCCAAGTACCAGTACCACTGCATAGCCTGTGTTTGGAGTGTCAATGGCGGTTGTGACGTTTACCTTCAGTCCTAACCGGTGTTGCTGTGAAAGGGGAGGCGAAACCAGTAGCTGAATGGGGCAAAAGTGCAGAGAGTGATTTCCGGGGCCTGGCTTAGTATGACCTACCCGTCACTTGCTGTTGTTTCTTTTCCCTCACTCTCTCCACGTCGGAGCAATAAGCCTAAGCCTAGACGTCTTTTTGTCTCCATTCGATCCATCAACAACATTGTGGGCGCGCACTCGTGCAGGGGTAGGAGGGATCCTCCCCCAAAAGGCCCGCAGAGAGAGAGAGTGAGAGAGATAGAGCGAAGGAAGGGGGGAGATTGATTCCTTTGAAGCAGCCTCGAACGCTATACAAACTCTGCAGGAGACCGATCAAGTCGCCGATGCAAGCCGCACGCTTTCCACGGAGAATGAAGCTTGGCTGCAGCACAGACTGGGCCACGCATGCCGTTCGACACACCAGTCCACTCCATGTTCTGAGAGGTTTGTGCAGAAAAGACAGAGGAAGCAAGTTTCTGTGCCAAGACGTTGTGTCAGGAAAATCTCCGACAAGAGCTGGTGCAGAGCAAGCAGGCGGGGTACTGAGGGCCCGCAGTGTCTAGATGTTGGTGACGAAGTTGCTTCAATCGCCTTTTAAACTCAGTGTTTGACCTATTTGGCCGTTTGCTGCTGGGGTTGAAGCAACGGACACAGATTCTGCTCTTGTGGACCGTGGTCGAAGAATGTTGGAGCCGATTTGCTCCTCCGCTCTCTTGGATTGTGCGGTGGAAATACACCGAGACTCTGCACATAATATGGCGGGTCCATGAGTTTGGAGCAGGCATGCCTTCAAACATGGGGTCATGCCACTGGACTCGTTGACATTATTACATGCGGGTATATCTTCAGAGCCGTCTGCCGGACAGCTTCTTGACAGAGTTTTGCTCCCAGCCACCCCCGAGACCCGTGAAGATAGGAGCACTTTGGCCCGGAACAGCTCCAATGCAACCCATGGCAGGGAGTAAGAGTCAGGTAAGTAGCCGCCTGTTCGAAATGGGATAGACCCCTATCTGATAGGGGTCTATATGAAAAGGCACAGACCCCTACATATGGTAGGCGGCTACTTACCTGGCCTATCTTCATGGCAGGCAACCACGGAGGCAGAGGCACGGCTCCAAGAGGCCCAGAGTATGCACTGGAGCAGCGTCGAAGCGACCCGACACTCCTGACAGAGCTCCGGTTCCATAGATTCGATCGATTCGAAGACCCTAAAAGCAATTGGATGCGAAAGAGCTCGTCGAGTCATTCGGCAGAGAGCCACCAAAGCAGCACTCGAGTTTACACAAAGTGAGCCCATGCAGGTAACGCAGCAGCTCCATCAGTTTGGCCAGGCGCAAACTCGCGGTGTAGAAAGACAATGGGATGGAGACGCGAGGGTTCTGACGTTTCCACTTGAGTCGCGCAGTTGTGGGGTCTCCGTGGCGCCGTCTCGCTTGCCAATCTTGATGCCGACGGTTGCCCCAAATGCACCAGCGGCCACCAGCGCGAGGCAAACCCTGAACTACCCGAAATTACCCTGCTGCGCGGGTCTCGTCCTGGCAATGTGCGAGGCAAAGCACTCTAAACCCTACACCCCATGCTCAAAGCCCTACAGCACCACACCCTCAATACCCGAAACCTTTTATAAACCCTACAACCTAAACCTCAAGTCTGTGAATCAGGCGATCACGCACTTCCAGAGTCAGCATCAAGCAGATGCCGCCACAATTCAGCGACTCCAGGCAATTTCTTGTTTTCATATCGGGTCCTGAATAATTAGAAGAGGTTACCTGTGCTGGGTCCGAAAGCGGGAACGCGTGCCAGAGCTTCCTGATAGAGGCGACGGCCAGTTTTTTGGGGGTGCAGTTGTGTCATACATGGAGAGCTTTGTGCAGAGCTGCTGTAAGAAGTGAAGTCGACAGCATCTTGTTGATGTTGACCTTTGGCTTGAGGCGTTTTTCGAAAGAGGGGGGGATGGATGGCACATGCGATATTGGTGGATCCCAAGCACTGCATAGTCACATTCCACGAACACGACGAATGGAAACCCTTCACAGGCTGAAAGTCCCACCAAAGAGCTGCTAGGCACCCAGGAAGCCCAAGCCGTCCTCAAACGAAGAGAAACTAGAATAATTACTGTATGCCAGAATAAAATATACTGTCATATCCTCAAACTAAGACACTAGTATGCCAAAATATACTGTCATATACTAAATATACTAACCCTCATCGATGGGTCTTGTCAGGGCGACTTGGCATCGACCCAGGAAGCTGGAGCCACCCAGGCGCCTGAAGCAAGCGACTTGCGCCGCGGGGCCTTGAACCTAGTACAGGGGTCAACAACCAATGCTATTTTTGGGGGGTATAGCATAATCTACGGGGTCTTGGGGGTGGGGGGGGGTATAGCATAATCTACCCGGTCTACCCCAAAGCCCTATTCTAATCATTAAGGCCCATATATTGAGCCCTCTATGCACATCATCTCCTAAGCGCTGGCCTGCAAGCATCGCCTTGTCCTGTCTCTGAATCTTGCTACTGGCAGTACCAGCTAAGAGGGGGGTTAGGGTTTAGGGGTGATCGACAGAGATCTGCGGGCAGAAAGTCAGGGAGGAGTACAATATGCATCGGGTACTGCCGGCAGCCCAGACATCTAATGGTAAGAAGGCTCTTGGAACTTCCCCGGCAGATCAACATCAGAAGGGATCTTTTTGTTACCTTTAGCACCAGAGGTTACCACTGCTAACACTAATAATGCGATTGCAATCAGTGATTTGGTTTTGACAGCAGCGAAGCGCAGGCAGGGCAGCTGGAGTTGGCGCTTCGGGAGCGGAACGATGCCAACCAGAGGCTGCAGGACGGAACGGTTCCGGTGTCATGGACGGGCTTTGCAGACTTTAGAGTTTGTGGTCGTAGTGGGATTTGGCCTAGGGTGCAGGAGGCCGAAGATCCGGGATATGCTTGCATAGCATCGAGCAAACAGGGTTCATTAGCCCTTCCAGTCCATAGCAAGTCTCCACAACGGGAGGCTTTGAATAAATATTTGCCAACCGGGAGAGGTTCAGAGAATGCCGCCCAAGCAACTGCCTGCAGTTGCAGGAGTCATAGTCGGCTAGGCGCATGGCAGAACCGAGAGAATTGGAATCGGGCAGAAGCAACCAGACGACTGCGCCAGCTTATGGATGTCAATGCCGGTGTTGCGAAGGTCTCTTTACAGACGCCTGAAAGCTTTTGTCTGGCTGTCAACTTTCCAGGAGGTCTTGCAGAGGAGCCAGGACTGGCTGCACGTCATGCTTTGTCTCATCCTTTCCAGGGCTGGCAAGGGAAGAGACAGGGGCCAGCAGATGAACTTAGTTTACTTATACTTGCCTTGGTATACCCGGAGTTCGTCCGAACTAGTTTTGCAGCCAACTGTGCAGGAGACCTCCCAAGTTGCACATGCCGGCTCAACGGAGAACGCAGCTTGACGGCTTCAGTTTAAGGTTTTGGGGTTGTGCCAATGCTGTGCTGAGCTGCAGGAAAGGCTCCGGCAGGAATTGGCACAGAGCAGGGAGGCTGGGCGTGTAGGGCATCTGTTCCATACCAGTGCTTGTACCGATTTCACGGCTGTTTGCCGTTAGCCCTCTGATGCTGTAGCTTTTCTGAGCTACTTGAGCATAGCCAAGCTGAAGTACTATCGTTACTCTCGGTTGACTAGCTCTCGCAGCGCTTCGGAGTGTTCGCTAGGAAGCGGATGTTGGCTGCATCAAGCACTCTTTTCGAGCTTCATCGTTTGGACTGCAAGTCTTCGCGACACGTTTCTAGCATGACCGTGGGTTCCGCAGTGTGTACCCACATGTAGCAAAGTCATGGTGGCATCGTGTTGTTGAGAGTCCACGATTCACCTGTTGAAATATCTTGCAGCACAGACTAATGCTTTTTGCTCAATCCCATATGCAAATGTGCTCTTGTGGTGAGCCCCCTATCAAAAGACCACCAAAAGCTCCGACGAGGGCCCAACATCTCTCGGTGTCGACTTGCCCTGGCTCCAAGATTTGTCTTCGGTATGTCACTACGATCACATGGGACACAATCAGAACGGGTTTCATGTTCATAATGTTACAGTATCATATGTTTATAACGTTATAGTACAATAATGGTATACTTCTCCAGGTTATTGAAACCCCTCTTACTACCGCCACTGCTGTCACCAACGCGACACCACCCGCGGCCACGATGACGATGTTGAGTCACAACCAATTTGCACGCATGTTTTGCCACAGTTTGTACAGTGCTGAGTACTGCCCAACTGGAGAAGGAGCTGATGCGGTGCGTGGCAAAGCTGCAAGATGCACCTTTGGCTTGTACGGCCCAGGCTTTGAAGCACTTCGGCAATTCCGGCAGGTTGAGGCGCAGGAGTAGCGAGGATGTTTCTGAAGACAGCCGGCCGCACATGCTAAGTTAAACGTGCTCAAGGCAGTAAGTTAAGTTAAGTTAAGTTAAGTTAAGTAAAGTAAAGCAAAGTAAGTAAGTAAGTAAGTAAGTAAGTAAGTAAGTAAGTAAGTAAGTAAGTACATATATATATATACACATACATGTATATATATATACAATACATATAATATGAATATGAATATATACATGTTTATATATATATATATCTGTATCCATATGTGTCTCTATGTATATATACATATATATATATATACACACACATTTGTGTGTGTATACCTTTGTATATTCTTCGCCCGACCCAGGCCAGACCGAATCAAACCCGACGAGACGCCCGAAGCTAAATCCGTCCCCCCGGCCCCCAACCCAAAGCCCGACACTGCAAAGACGAAGCGTCAATGCTAGCCTTGGCACGAAACTAGACTTCAGGGAGAACGCTTGCAGCTCGAAATCCGGCGGTTGCTGCCCTTTGAAGAGGCTCCATGAAGCAGACTTGTAAAGGGATGTGTACAAGCAGATGGATACAGTGAAGCTGTGCTTCTGTTTCTGGGGAGCGGGCTTACGGTTTCCAGGTTTCCTTCGGGTGAGCTGGACGGAAATCTGGAATAGTAGCCGCATGTCAATGGAGAGCGAAGCCAGCAGAATTGAGCGTGTTGCACCACCGGCATCGCAGACGGGCTAGTGCTAGCTGCGAGGAAGATGAGGAAGTAGTATTGATCCTGATTCATAGTTGTATAGTATCGCCATCATTGTCATTACTGGTGCTAGCCAGCTGCTGCCGTGCCGTTTTGGTCTCCGGCACGTTGCAACCTTCCCAGTCAGATATTGAGACCGGGGGAACTGCAGGAAGCGCACTTCTTCATTTCCCCCCCAAGGCCTCAGCCAAGAGGAATCCAGAAGTCCATATCTGCAGGCAAGCAAAGAGCTGGAGACGCGGCTCAGAGAGGCCCGGAATACGTGAGAAGGATTGCTTGCTAGGAACAGCAAGTCACAGCCACACCATGAGCTTACTCGGAGCTTGCGAGCAGGAACGAACTCAAAATGTGCTTCAGGCTACCAGTTGTTTGGTCAAGTTTCCAACTTTGCCGCTTCCTTTTGTCAAACTAGATAGTCAGTCGCAGCTTCAAGCCACGATGGGTTGCTTTTCGTGCTTACCAGCTTGGGGCCAAAAAATGTGTATTTAAGTACACCAAAACACCGGTGCCCTTCCCGAGGGCCGATCTTGCTGTTTCCTGCATCCCTGAGACGTCCGGCAACAAGGAAAGATCCTAAACGGGATACGGTTATATGCACATGTGTATGTATATATATATATGTATGTATGTATGTATGTATGTGTATATATATATATACATATGTATATACATATGGGTTGCCAAAGTATCGCCTTTTGAAACAGGGGTTACTAGACGGGATGGGTTTCTACATGGAGGCGGAGCTGCAGCTCGAGCAGCGGAGCCAGGCGGGCCTTTCATGGGACGGGACGTAAGGGGTGTTTGATATAATATAGTAACTACTTGGTATATGCTGCTAGCTATCTATCTATCTATAATCTATCTATCTACCTACCTATCTATCCTTCGTTCTTTCTATCTTTCTATCGGTGTGTATACATACATACATACATACATATGTATGTATGTATGTATGTATGTATGTATGTATGTATGTGTGTATGTGTGTATGTGTGTATACCGTACATGTATTCAGTGAAGCGATACTATGCGGCACAGTACGCATAACGTAAGCATTGTCAATCCTATGTGCAGTATGCACAGTAATTGCCTATAGATGGTACACATAATGTAGAGCATACGTTAGGCATTATATCGTGTGCAGTCAGCGTTCGGGAGAGTCTTCAGTCCACCCGTTGTTCGCGTGAGTTTCTGTGGCCTACATGGCCACCGGTTCTTGCTACTGGGCAATGCCGGGCAGGTGCGTGTCCTGCCTAATTGCATGAAGTCAGCCGTGGCTGGGGGTCTTCTTTGTCGTTTTTAATTTTCGTCGCGCGCCAACTTTGCGTCTATGGTTGGTCCGACAAGGCGATGACAGAGCTCCAGCGCCAGCATGCAGCCGACGCCGCTTCAATCCAGCGCCTCCAGGCCTTTTCACTTTGCATGTGATCCGGTTTATTTTCTGCAGCTCCTTTTTTGCAGAAGGCGGGTTGAAGTCGAAGGCGGTGGTGGCAGGATATAGGAGTGAGAAGGAGCGTCATAGTGAAGGTGACAAGATAGTAGCAGCAGGCGTAATTACTTCAGCTGAGAGAAAACAATTGCAATAAACACCCTAACAGATGAAGAAATCATCGAAGGTGCAGCATCATAGCAACAGAAAACACAGACCAGGATATTCAGCAATGATAGGTGATCGGTGCCTGGTTCTCTGCGCACTTGAAAATCTAATTTTAACCTTCAATGCCGACTCCTTTCCGGTATGAGCAAAGCAGCGGACCCGATAGAGTTTGGCAGGGCGACCTCTTGTCGATCCAGGAGACAGGAGAGTCCCAGGCGCCTCAAAGGTTGACGCTTCGATCCTGTTTCTATCCATTCCACTCTACGCAACTGAGTAAGTTCTACCATAATACATACTCGTCTCGTCCCTGCGCTCGGTTCTACTACTGGTAGCTCGATTCCATTCTATACTGTTCTGTTCTGCTTTACTCTTCATGCTGTGCTAGTCTTCTTTTGTGTATGAAGCCATGTTGAAATTTGACTGGCATCGTAATGGTTTAGCAGGGCGTAGGGCTAATAGGCTTCAAGAACAAATCGTATGACTCTGAACATGCGGTTTGGAGGTCTCGCCGTGCCGAGAAGTTTCGGCCAAACCCCGATGCTGAATTCCTTACACTCAAGAACAAGACCGAATAGGATGCAACATGATGTGGCCGGACCTTTGTGCGGCAGAGCACTTGGAAAAGTATGATGTTGATTGCGGCCTGATGCCTAAGGCAGTATGACCCAACATATGTCGAAGAGGCTTCCACGCCAGCACTTCGAAAACCTACGGAGTTTGCAAGTTTCATTCTGAGGCATGCACAGCAATAGGATTTCCTGTCTGGTTTTGTTGGTGCATCGGGGTCATTTTTGCAGACATAGAAAGACTGCCCAGGCAGGACGGCTAGAGTCGGCACTTCTGGAGCGCAACAAAGAGTGCGCGACACTGCGCCGGGAGCGTAACGAGGCCCAACAGAAGCTCCAGGACGAGTCGGGTTACCTTGGGGCGGTCCTTTAGACCTTTAAGGGACCTCAAAATAAGGACATCTGATCTGTCTTCATCTTCTTGGTAGCTGTCTTTGAAAGCCGGGCGTCGATGGAAAGTACCCCTCAACTTGCCTGAGCCTTCCAGGAGGTCTTGCAGAGGAGCCAGGACCGCTTGGGCCGATGTCGCCACAGCCAGACTGATCCCTCAACACGGGCTTTTGAATTCTGTTTCAACCCCGTTTCCCTCACCTCTTTGCCGACTTCTGATCTGTAGGAGAACCTCCAAGTGGCAGATGCCGGCCGGGCACTTTCCACTGAAAATGAAGCTTGGCTGCGAGAGCCCAGTGCAGAGTGCATGAGCGTTTCAAGCTTCCTCACTTGTGAAGATGGCGCTCAAGTTTCATGGATCCGGACATATACTTTCAACCCGAAACCCCGAGCCCTCTCGGAGGGGTGACATGGCATCATGAGACCATGTCAGGAGCGGCTCCAGCAGGAGTTGGCGCAGAGCCGGGAGGCCGGGCTCTTTCTGAAACCTGCCGGGGGGCCTGGCGCAAGGATACATCCCCCCTTCAAAACCCTGCAAAACATCGAAATCTCTGGGTTTTGCTTCCGAGCCAGGAAGGACAAAGGAAGTAGAAGAACCCCGCATTGCTCTGATGTACGAGTAGCGAGAATCATCCCCGTTCTGAGGCCAGTGCACATTCCCAACCTTGAGCCCATATCATTTCAATGCTGCACCCTTGCCACCACCGTTGCCGACATGATCACCAATACTGCTGTCAACACCACCAGCAAGAACAACTCTTGCAATTCTAGCAGCAGCTATTCGCAGCAGCCTTTCAGCAACAACATTGCGGGTGCAGCAATTTCAGTAAATAAACATTGGTCGTCCTCCGCCTCCTCCTCCTCCCACTGCTACTAGGACGACGACTACCGCTGCTGTTGCCACCACCACTTTGACCACACTGCATTTTGCGGTACTGTTAGTAGCTACTATTTCCAACAAGACCCCCCCATGAAGCATGTCAGTCGCACTGCCGACCGAAACGGCATCCTTATCCCGTAGAGGCAGAGGGTCTGATCGGTGTGAGGGCGGTAGCTGTCAGTGTCATTAGATTACTGGGCAGTGACAAAGCGAGTGACGACGAATGTCCAGCGTCAGCAACAACACCACCCAGCGTTCCCGGACAACAACACGGCGGCAATCGCTGCAGTCTTCAAGGTGAACCTGACGCAAGCACTATCTTCCCTAGCTTTGGCATGCCCGTTCCCACCAGCAGAAGTTTGATGCCCAACTACCCGAAACAGGGGAGGTTTCGGGAAGTAGTAAGGGGACCCGAAGCTTAGTATCCGGGATCTCTAGATTCCCCATAGATACCAAGCAATCCCGATCTACCTCAGAGCAGGAGCTGAAATCCTTGAACAGCGTGGTGGAGCGGTGCGTTGCAAAGATGGAAGCTGCATCTCGCCGGGTCATTCATTGACTTTCCGCTGTATCAGGAACAACGCCAGAGCCAAGTTGTCCAATAATCCCTATGCCTATAATAGGATTGGTGCGTTTAGGAACTGGGCTTGGCTGTCGCCTCAGGGACTCTTGGGTATTCGGGTTCAGCCAAGGTTTGCGAACTTGAGGCATGGAAGAAGCTTTTTTGGCCTGGTGCAGGTTTGATCGGACACGCCCAGGAAGACAATACCTGGCTTGTGATTACAGCTATGTTCCTCATTAGGGTTCCTTCATGTAACATAATGCGCCCCAGAACCCGATTCTGACTATAAAAACCATTGAATGCCCTTAGATTAGCTGGCTCCTACCGTGGAGAATCATGCCCTCACTCGCCAGGAGATGCCCTACCGGAGGGCTTAACCGCCTTAATGCTTTCCGCCACAAGCCAATGATAGCTGCTTAACTTAACTTCTGCACCCCTCTCCGAGTCCCAGCGAGACATCTCTCCATGTCTAGAACATGTGAGTTTAAGCATCTCAGCCTATCAGGAGAGTCGTGAACGTCCATTCCTCGTGGACAAGCGCATGGTCACACAAATGCTTGCAGCCTATTTGGAGCAGCGGGAGAATCCGGGCCCGCAGCTGGAGACGCTTGGGCAGCAAGGGTGATGCCACGCATGCGCAGCTCAGGATTTCTCTGCCGTCTGTCGTCGTTCCTGAGTGTCTGATGTGCCTGTTCCCGTCCGAGAAAGAGGGCCCGGAGGTCTTGAAAACAGGGCCTTTTCCGCCAAGGCGGAGCGACAGAACGGGTAGTACTCTGATGCACCATTGTGTCTTAATTCCCCGGGTGGACCTGGATCCCAGGCTCCGTCTTTCTTGCGGGAAACGCCGAGCTGCTCTCTCACAGTAAACCCCCTGAAAGTCTTTCAAGATCACAGGGGCAAGTGGGTGCTACAAGAGGAGGCGAGTTCTTTCAGACCAGTGGGAGCTTGACCAGTTTGTAATGCCCGCTTCGGAGACTTCTGTTTCCTTATGTCTTATGCCGATCAATGTCACAACTAAGCCCAGATGTCCTGCTGCCCAGGATTCTGAACAAGATGGCTGACCTCCTCGGCTTCACCTCAGCTGAACGCGAGCAGGCTTCGGAAGCAGGGTTCGTGCTGGGTTTTATGGACTTGTCGTGCTGGTTGTACTCGCGAAGATGGAGTGTCATTAAATGATGGTCTTGCTAACGCTCTTGGGTGATATGTGCGCGGTAGCCCTGATGAGTGGAGTGGGATGCCGCTGCTGTGCCGCACATACGAGAAATTCTGACCGATGTTGTGTATCATCTCTGCCACCTTGACCGGGACCCTAATCCCAATGATTCGTTTCATGTCGAGGCGTTGTTGTGAAGACTCAGGGGCTTGCTTCGCGCGTTTAAAGGGGCGCGATGGTCAACTCTGACTTGGGAATGGTAGTCTCAGAAACAAGCAACGCTTAATACAAACACTGTGTAGTAGGACCCTTATGGAAACTGCACTCACAAAAAACACGCATAAACCACATGGAAACCTACAAAATCCCTACACCAGAACTGGCAGCCCGGCAATCCAGGCCCCAAGGACCCCAGTCATCGGAGGTTTCATGTTGTTCGGGCCAGTTCCGGGGTTTAGGGTTGTGTGAAATGCTGGCAGACGTTCGAAAAGCAGCTCCAAGCCCCTATAAAGCCCCAAAGCTGAGGGTTATCAGATGTGTGCTTGAATCTCCTGCCTGCTTTTTTGCAAAGGCGCAGAATCTGGAAAACCACCTTCCAGATGAAAGCTTTACGTCCCGTGCACGGAAAACACATGAGATGGACGCCGAAGGAAGCAAATAGTAAGGGTAAGAAAAAGGAGAAGAGTTGCATGTAGTAATAACGACATCATATAGAAGGATAGTCTCGACAGGTACGAATTTTCATAACAGTAGGCTGTTATAATGAATAGAATGAATGTCTCAATTACTGAGACTATTGATGTTGATTGCAGATCTGAAAGCCCAACCAACTGCCAACATGCCAGGTCGGCTTGTCACAGAAGCGGAAGACACCGCTGCAGATGCAGGAACCACAAGGTGTGCCATGTTTACAAGTCTGGGTTTAGCGTTCAGGGTTTGGCTGTTTTTGAAGGTCTGGATGCTGTCACAAGTGCTCTCTGCGGGCTGCCAGGTCATGTGTGCAGCGCGGTGTTTGTGTTTACCACGGTAGGGGTGCAGTAGGGAGTCGGGTGTAATAACCTACAGAGTCTGGGCTCAAAACATGCCTGACTAATGACCTACGGCCCAGAAGTTTACAAGGCACTATTGAGTAGCGAGTCGGAGTACATGTCCCCGTAAAGTGCCCATATAATCAAACTATAACATACCTTTCAAAACCCTGGGCTGCTTGTAGACATTACAAGGCCATATATATATAATACTATATATTTTAGATAATACTATATATATATATAACATATATATATATACAATATATATATATATAGATATTAGAAACCCTGATAGTGCCTAGTAAACCTTCGAGCGGCTCGTTTAGGAAGCCTTCAAGGAACCCGATTCGCAGGAGAAACCCTGCCCTAACCCGTGAGTATACGGACCCTGAACCCGAAACCCTGACGCCCTAAACCCTTAAGGCCTTAAGCCCCATGCTTTATGAACCCTACAAGCCCTAAAACCCGACAAGCCCCATTAACACTAAAAGCCCTAAGCCCCAAACCCGTGTGGATGCCTTCTGCTGTGCAGATTCTCGAGCTAGACCCTAGCAGACGGAAAAAGGCCCTCAAAAAAAAAGAACCGTGTGGATCCTTGCCTGCTATGTGCGAGAGTGAGAGTCGAAACCCGACAGCTGGAGGCAAAACACTCTGAACAGAACTTTAGACAGTCCGAAACCCTAAACCCCTAAACCCCTGAACCCCCAAACCCCCTAAACCCTAAACCCTGAAGCGTTACCTCGCCTAGGTAAGTCCGAGAGTCAGTGCTGAAACCCTAACGTGTTTGTAGGGCTCTGAGCCAGGCCTCGCGGACCTGACCGACCGCTTTGTCGATTTTCTGATGGAGGAGTCGGAAGCCGGCTGAAGAAGGGCCATGAAGCCTTCCTCTAAGGGGCTGTACTAGAAAAATCTAGTCCTAGTACCAGGGGTTCAAGATAAGGGCACTAAGAAGCCAGTCATGGCCCTTCGGTCCGGCTCAGATATCCGTTTTAGCGATGCAGTTGAAGCAGAAACTAAGCTTCCTGAAAGCGTTGAAATAGCAAAATGCAGAGAGCCTTAGCAATCGTGATGCAGGCTGTTGTCTCTGTCCTTCACGAAGCATCGCCGTAGCCAACGAGATGTAAAATCTATATATACCGACCACAGCTCGCTGGTGAAAAAGAAGATGCAAGCTGTGCAGCATTCTGTTCACATCATGTACGTAGTATATGCGCGTACAACCCCGAGCCTCGGAAGCGGACCTCTTCCAAGGTCTGTTCTTTTTAGCGATAGAAGACATGCATAATGACTTCATGTTCGTTGCTCTGCACTCCTTTACTGATTTACGTTACTGTGTTGTAATTAGTGTACGACTAGACGGCATGCGATACCCGTGACGATTTCGGTGCTGCAGCTCTTGCAAAGCCCGTTCCTGCAAATTGGGTCCTGGGTGTGCATCAGTGCTTGAAGCTGCTTCCCGCAGGCACACGCCGTAGCTGGACAAGGCTCCCTGCTGATGAAACTGAAAAGCACGGAGGGTTGAGAGCTCAACAGGGGTGAGGGTGTTCGATGCCAGCTCTGAGTCCTCAAGAGTTTGAATCTATTTAGAAGGTGTATAAGCTTACAAGCCCTTCAGGTTGGCCTCCCAAGGTGTCTATAAATTTCAACGCGACCGTGTCGAGACCTTTTTCTGTCCAAGTCCGCAGGCCTTGAAACCCCGAGACGACACCTCGCGGCGGATGAGAGGCCAGTTGTTGGCACATTCTGAGCTTCTTCCGTTCCATGTCAGGCTACCGTTAGCAATCTACGATTACATGTGTATGTATGTATGTATATATATATAGATAGATAGATAGATAGATAGATAGATAGATAGTCTTGCAAAAAAGGCCGGACCGATGGAGCAGAACAGTTAATGCGCTGTTCACGGCCGGTGGTCCTTTGAAGCTAGCTGCTGCATCCCTGGAGCGGCACACTGAATCGGCATTATGTTCAATCTTGGGCTTCTGCAGTCTTCCTCGAAAAGGGCTTCCGCAACTTCCAGAACCTTTCCGATCAGAGGCAGCAGTTTGGTTGCGTTTCAGGCGACAGTTGGAGATGGATTGTCGCGTGCACCTCCTGACAAGTTCTGGGCCTCAGGATGTTGTTCAGCTCCTTTCGTACACTGCAACTGTGTAGATCTCGGGAGTGTCAGAAAAGCCATGGTGCTTTGTGGGGGCACAGGGGTGAGGGGTTTTATTGTATCTTGTTCCCTGGTAGCTGTCGAAAACTCTCACACAAGGCTTGGGGGGCACCCGAGTGCACGTCATGCTCTTGGCTGTCGACACGCAGAAGATCTCTAGAGGCATTAAGTTAGCAATAATGATAAGAGGAATAACGATTAGAACAGGGTTTGGGAGCATATTATGCTAGAGCTTTGTTGTTGTTCTGGCTGGAAAGGATCCAAAGCGATCCTAGATTTCGCACGATCGGAGACTTCACAACCCACCGTTGCGAATATCCTGACCATGCAAGCAAACACGCCGCAAACCCCTCGCCAGAGCTCTTTGCACCCTATCCAGACTCAGGGCAACCAATCCGCGGCTCCTAGTCCTAGACCTAGACCCCTTGTAGCAGCCCGTGTATCAACCCTACAACCCTTCTGTCCCTTGTCGCACCTTACCTGAACGGCCTTACAACGGAGACCAAACCACCCATGCCAGCGCGTTGCCTTCTGCCATGGCTTTGGCCCGGCAGCCCCGGGCCAAACTCGGGCCTTTCGGGTGCGGGAGTCTGAGCCTTACTCGAGCCATATGGGTAGTTCGCTAAATTAGGGCCACTAGGGTCCCCTTTTTTAGGAGCCCCTTAAAGGGAACTATAATCCTAAAGGGTTTCTATAGGAGGGGTACCAAAATAGTGCGGCACCCTTATAGAAAAGGACCCTCAAAGTGGCACTAATTCAGAGAACTACGCATAGAATGTAGGCCCGGAAGAAGTAATAATAATTACCTCTTGTGCCTAACCCTTGCTGGGTGCAATATACCCACAGACCTTGTTCGAATTATTGGGGTACTTATTCATTTATGAGGGGAGTTTCGCAAAGCTAGAGGTACCTGTGAGGTGCCTGTCTTACTTAGGTGTCCTCATGAAAGGGATCCTGTGGAGATCCTATTGTTAAACTCTTTGGGGTTTACGTTGCAGTGCCCTATAGTCTTCTCTGGAGCTCTCATAACGCGGGTTGGGGAGATCTGTATCTGGTGAGCTGTCCCATTAGGGTGGCCCATGAACCAGAAGAACCATCTAAAGGGTTTGTGGATATAATATACTATAATATACCATAATATATACCATATAATATACCATAATGTACTATAATGTACCATAATGTACTATATTATACCATTAATATACCATAATATACCATAATATACCATAATATACTATAATATACTATAATATACTATAGTAGACCATAATAAGTTAGCATGGAGCTTGTGGAACAGCGAGGTCGAGATGGCGGCGGAGTGCGCCAGTCTTCCATTACTGGCATCCGCAATGCCATGCTGGCAGTGCCGACGGCCGAGCTTTTAGGGTTTAGGGTTTAGGGTTTAGGGTTTAAAGAGTCTCTGGTTCTTAGTAGGGAATGGGGGAATGGATCCCCATGATAGTCCCTTAAGGTCCCCTATAGTAGTCCCAATAACCCATTCCCCCATTCCCTCCTAAGAACCAGAGAGAAGAGTCTTGGGGGGGTGGCTGTCGGTCTGCTCGCATGCATGCTAGCTATACAGGTCGCGCCTGCACGACCTCCTGATGGCCGTTTTTTGAAAGGAAGTCTTTCCCAAAGCAGTCTCCTCTCCTCATGCTTGAGCGCCCTTTCCGGGCAGCGGGTGCTGTTAACTTCCGTAACTTCCGCATACGGAGGTTTCAGAAATGAGGGTTTCGTGATGATACGGGGCCCTTTGAATAAGTATCCGATGATTTAGTGTGTGAATCATATCAGTGTCCCCTCCGGTTTGAAACTCTCCTAGAGACTGAACCTCTGAACCTCCTTTGCATTGTTTCTCTGCAGGGCTGAGAGTTCTTCCTCAGATTGTCCCAGCTCTTAGGGTTCATAAGGCTTTCCTGGTTGTTTAGGGTTTAGGGCTGCCCTGGCTCTATTAAAAGGCATCGTGGCGGAAATTCTGCTCGAAAGCATGGTGTAAAACGGGCAAAACCGCCGCGTTCAACCCAGCCATCCCTGCAGTCCAGGCTACGGGAGGCGGCTTTGCAGACGGTCTCAGAGATCGTCGACTGCAGATGAGTTTTCTTGCGTCTGTGAGGTGGGCAGATTGGGGTTTTCTATACCGGTCGCAGAGGCTCCTGTCGTGCCGATGGTCCTTGAGGTTTCTCATCCCTAAACCCAAACCCGCTGATACCCTAAACTCCGTCTGAGCTATCCGATGCAGGCGCCCGCGCATGGAAAGGGACAAGGGGGTGTGCTCCGACTGTACAACTTCGTTTCCACAAGTACGAACCGCACCGCAGGGGTGTCAGGCAAAGGCTTTGAAACAGCGCCCGGAATCCCTTGCTACTGCGATGGGTGTCAGGCAGCTGGGAATAACATTGGACTTTGCAGGCCGCCCACGGTCTGAATCTGAGGATCTTACTAGAGCGCCGGCGCCACCACATCCGAGGGGCCCTAAGTTGCTGGCATCAAAACGCATCTGGACAGCATTTCTGGTGACGTATTGAAGTAGGGCTCAAGACTGGGTTCGGTTTCTTCATAGGTTGCTAGATGTTGCGGGGATCAGGTGTTGTCCAAGCAGAGGGATGGTCTGCAATTTTGGGATTCGGTTCTTGAGCTCTTGAAGAAAGCTCCGAGCGACGAGGCTCATATCTTGGGGAGTTTCTCTTGGGATGATGAAACGTAAAAAACTTAATTTGGCCCGTATCGCGCATGATATCGACCAAGCCTGTGCTGTAGGCTGCGGTGCCTCACGGCAGATAGCATGAATCTTTGCAGGGCTTGCAAGGACCTTTATACATACTGAAGGCTTGATCTTTCATTATGGCCGTATGAATTCCGGGGTTCTTCCGGAGCACAGGCAGTGCATACGTTTCACACAACAACATGCTTGCGTCATGCGGATCGCCTGCTACCAAGCTTACTAAGGCGAGGCGGCGCCAGCTGCAGCGCGAACATGACAAGGCGGTTGTGGTGGCAGTGGAATCAAGGGAAAGGCCAGGCCGAGCCCTCGACACCCTGAACCCCTAAGCCCTCAAAACTGAACCCTGTGATCTTGACTTCGATGCTTCGACCGGGGACGGGGCTTTAAGACTCGAGGTTCGACTTGTGCAGGTCGGTGAGATGGCTACCTCAGGAGGTCTATGTCTAAACACTCAGTGCAGAGAGAGCGAGAGAGAGAAGCACTTAGTAAGTGTATCTCGTCATGGTCATGGTCCTTATATATTTTAATTCGTTCATATAGCCGGCAGCCGAGCCCAAAGCCGTACTGTATACAGTATCCTCTCATAGTCCCTATATGTAAATTAGAGGATCGACCCCCCAAGCCTCATTGAAGTCATTAATTAAATCAAGCCACCCAAAAACAACGAGGATTGGAGTTTACCAAAGGTAGCCCGACTCTGCCGACAATTTGCCGTTTCCAAGCTCGAGTAGGTTGCCAGAAGATTTTAGATATGAGGACCTCGCACCTTTGACTGAAAGCTGGGCAAAAGGGGCGGGGTTTTAGGGGCGCTAGGGTGTTGGCGACAAGGTAATATATATATATATATGCAGTAGTCAAGGCGTAGAGACTCGTGGGCAGGGGGCCTCTAGGCTCAGAGTCGCTTCTTCCGACCTTGCCTCATCTAAGAGATGTTTGGTTGCATGCGAGACGTCCAAGATCCCAGACGGTGTTGCATAAAGCATGTGTGTTTTACCACTAAACCAGCAGAAGAATAAACAAGCAAGTCTAACTGCACGCACACACACACACACACGCATTATCCGTTCACCTTGGCCTCTCTTTGCCTCCACCCTCCTTCTGTTCTTGTACTGGGCAGGGGCTTTGAGCGCCATGCATCTCCGCATGCTCCAGATGTAGTTGCAAGTCACGAGGCTCCGGAAGCAGCAATCCGATGAGGAAGCGCTGACGCGCCAGCGATGGAAGCAGGAGCGCGAGGCAGAAGCGGGCGGAAGCAGTCTCAAAGCCTCCGCATTGCAATGAGTCGAAGTGGAAAGTTGAGATATTCGTCAGGCTTCAACTTAGTGGACAGAGAAAGAGTTCAGCTCAAGTGGAATGCCACCAGGTTCTCATCAAACAGATGGGGCCAGGATCTCGGCCGGGCAAGCGTCGGCTCCCTTCAGCAGAGACCTGCGTATTTCTGGCAGAGCCTTCACCCTACCCTCTGTGCACAGGTACAGTGTACCATAAACCATGAAGTCACGAAGCCTTTGTTTCGCTGCAGTGGTCGCAGCTGCATTGTCCTTTTGCTTTAGTTGGCATAGTAGCCACCCGTTGCATCACGCGGCTCAGGGAGGAACCATCGGAGGAGGACGTGAGGAGAGATGCTTGGTGGTGGCAGTGGGGCATCAAGTTATCAAGGCTCTGGGTTGCGATCGGAAGCTTGAGATCCAAGAGGCACGCGATGATGGGAAGGCCTGCTGCCGAGGATTGTGGCATATCTTTGGCCATGTGTCATCACTTCACTTTCTCAGCGCCCTTTGTTCTAGATTCCAGATGCAGAAAACATCGGCAGTTTGGACAATTGTCGCCCAGTTTACAGCATTGCCGAGCAGGAGACTCCTGCAGCTTGACTCGCGGCATCGGGGCCACATGTCCACGCTGGGAGACAAGCAGCAGCGTGCTCACCAGGAGGGCGGGCAGTGTGAGAGTTCTTCTGCCGCACTTCTTGATACAGGTTCAGAGCCTCCTTGCAATTTACAGGTTGCCAGCCGGTGTCCTGTGCAAGTTAACTGACTACCGCTCTGCCTGCTTAAGATGCAAGCTTCAGAAGCACAAGGGTGGGGTTTGCTGTATCCTCGTCAGTTTTCGCGGCCCCGGGTGTCGGAGTTTGCGACCCCTGCTGAGTTCTAGGGTAGGAGGTAAGTCCAAGATTACAAGAGTACCTTGTGTTCTCTCACGCAGTCGCGCTCGTAATCCTGGTCCTAAGACTGCTAGCCTTGGCGGCCGCAGTCTTAGGAGGATCGGGAGCAGGAGTGGAAGGAGTCGTCGCATCAGGAAGTGGAGGAAAAATCCGTTGCTTTGTCCGCTTGCGCAGGAGCACCACGTGGCCCATGCCCAGGCAGCTGGCCTGTTCCAGATGGGGAAATGGTTGAAAGGGTCAGGGCTTCGGTGCTTGGGTTCCGCTCAAGGGGTCTAACAGCCTTGGATATGGGAAATAAGTCTTTCAAGCTCTCTCTTCGAGCCATCCAAGCCCTGGACGATTGCAAAACGCAAGCTCTTCCGGCAGAAAGCTCAAAGCGTCAGTGAGATCCAGAATGAACCTATGGGAAGATTATCGGACTCCTAATTTCCAACAGCTGGCAGGGCCTTGCAGCGGGCTTCTTAAACTCGGGGCGACTGTCAGGTCCAGAAGGGGCACCAGAAGAACCTGAGGGCAGGTCTTGCTAATATAATATAATATAATATAATATAATATACAATAATATAATATACAATATTATGTAATATAATATAATATAATACTTGCCATGTCTTTCCCGGAAGGCAAAACTTTAGATCCGTGGTAGGTGCGTATAAACTTCGTGTCGATGGCATGCCGGCATCATCTGGTGTGTTGGGAGTTGGCTCTAGGGAATTCGGAGCAGGGGAGCATGCTACGCGAACGTCTTACACCGAAAATTTCAAGAAGCTCACCCGGCATCATCACAACAAGTAAGCGTCACAAGGAACCGATCAAGGGCCAGGCCCAACCGTAAATCCACGATGAAGTCGAGCCTAAATGCAGAGATACCTACTGGTATCTATCCGTACTGGTATCTATCCGAGTCCACAGTAGCAAGGGCTCCTGCTCTCTTGCTCTATGCCATTTTTGCGTGATAAGCTTGTTAGTGTGCAAGCACCACGTTGACAATCTAGTACAACACAGCTTTTTTTGCTGAGATGCTGTAAACGGTCGTACTTCTTGATTTCCGCTCGGCCGGTTGCTTGCATACGATGAGTTCCATAGTCTAGTGTGATTTGTTGCATTGGCTCGCATGCGTGCTTCAGGAATCCGCCTTTCCAGCTGTTTGTAGATCGACTCCATCCTTGCATTACTTGTTGTGACTCGTCAACGACTGATATTTCGCGCTGTTGTTGCTTTGAGGGTTGTTGCCAGTGCTCGTGTCCTTACCTTATAGTTAATAATCACCTCTTCTTCCAGAACCCTGATAGCAAACCCTTTGGAAACATAGAGACGTTATAGAGCGGGAACTCTGATTATCGAACCGTTGTCGAATTATACACACCCTTATAGAGCCCTTCTCCCGTCAACCCTCACCGAATCCCGCTCTAGTCCCCTATTTCGCCCCTATTTGGCTGAAGTAACATGTACATGAAGGTTAAGCTCAAACTAGCAGAACAACCTCAACAATAAGGGTATGAACAGAAAGCACGGGAGTCCGGACATAAAAGAAGCCGATCTCGAAAACTCTATAATAATCTCGTGGCCCTGGTTCCAAGAAGAGCAGTAGAGAGCTTCGGACTGCCTTTGTGTCAGCCCTCCCCAGAGTCGCAGAGAGACCCAGGGAGCGTAGTAGTACTGGGACCTCCCCCCTGATTACAAAGCCGGGCCGCCCAGGGCTTGAAATCCATCGCTTGTTTTTTTGTTGGGGAGGGGGGGGGGGGGAATTACTGCTAGGAACTTAACATTGCACCCCAAACATTCTAAGGCTTCTAAGGAGCTTAACATTGCACCCTAAGCATTTCAACCCCTATGACCTTTGCAGGTTATGGCCCTTGCCGCCCTCGAGGCCCTGGTGAAGGCTTCCCCGGAGAAACGGCGAGGAGACGCCAGAGCCGTGGTCGCAGTAAAGGCTTGAAGACTAGAGGGATACTATGAGTGTTACCCTCAGGGCTTTTAGGGTTTGGGGATTGGGGGCTTTGTTGATTCTGAGTTCAAGGGAAAGGAGCCTAAGAATCGCGGTTGGGGTCTGGGGAGTTCGATCTTATCCTGCATATGCATTGTGCAGAGGACATGACATGTCGTAACATCTCTTCTCGTGCCACCCTCACGTGTCCTGAGTGAGTTGGCCGGCGCTCAGGTTTCGTAGTTGAGGAGTCAAGCAATCAATCAGCCCCTCATGCAAACAAACCTCCTAGAGGATAGGGCTACCACAATTACTTTAAGGGCTACTCAAATTAGCTATCACTACTATAGGGGTTACTATGAGGGCTCTCCAAGGTTGTTGCGGCTTTTAAGGCTCGAAGCCGTCTTTGGGCCTTGGGGTTCTCGAGAAAAGCAGCAAAGACAGAATGAGACAGGCTTCAGAATTCGGGGGTTTTGGGGTACTTCACATAAAGGACATGTATAGATATATACACACACACATGCATCATGCAGGCAGAATCCGAAACGAAGCTCCAAACACAGACGTCAGCCTTGACTTAAGTGCAAGGTCTTTCGGAGAACAGCCCTAGTGTCGGGCACCCGGATGGAATTCCTTGCCGGGCCTACAAGATCTTGGAGCTGGAAATCTGAAATTCTACTGCTTTTTCGGAAATATGGGTTGTGGATTTTCGCGACATAGTAACTTACGCAGATGTTGCAAGGCTTTGCTAAGCATGATCGGCACTATCCAGTTGAGAATAGAGGCTCCTGAGAATCAATTGTGTTCCGCACCGTACCTTCTACGCCATCGGCTGCAGGCCCTTCGCCGAAATACAAAGTCGCCCGTGTTTGCAATGCTACTAAGTGACTAAGCGCATCAGCCCTGAGTGTCCTAAACCGTCTTAACCCCAAAATCACCACCTTTGTCAAGGGAATTTAACAGGAAATCACAAAAAAAACAACTGTGGGCATGGCCCGCTTTCCCTCGAAACCCTCTAGACCACAAAGACCCTACAAGCCTGCAACCCTGTAGACAAAAACCCTACAGTCGAAACCTTGTCTGCTCCAGAAAACCTAAACCCTAAACCCTAGGAAAAAAACCCGTGTCTGCTCAAAAAAAGATCGAGGTCTGTTTTCTCCAATGGGCCTTCACTGAGCAGCCCGAGGTTGGCCATCATCCTGCAGTCCTCAGCGGTTTAGGGACGCTTTGGGTTTAGGGACCCGATGTATAGTTCCGGGATGATGCTTTGGGGTTTCCATGTTTCGGGTTCTGGGCAAGGCTTGGGCTTAAGGGCTCAAGGTTAAAAAAGAATCTGGTGGAGTTCAGGTTTTAGGGCGTTTTCATGTTTGGGGTTTGTTTTGCTTTAGGGCTCGGGTACTGTGCTTCTGATGACCCACGTACGTGCCGAATGTGGAGTTTCTTACTGCGAGCGCAGAAGCCCTACGAAGCTTGACATTGGATCTTATGTTTGGTTTGAGAAACATGTGCAGGTATACTGTATATGTACATTGATATATGTGTAGATTGGCGCATATATATATATATACATACGTATATACATATGCACGTTTATTTCTTTCTTATTGTTGCTTGCGCTAGTGGTAGTAGTCGTCGCCGCGGTCGTCATCGTACGTTGTGCAGGCATTCCAGAACCGCTTTCGTTGAAAGTCAT